TTTATTTCCAGTAAAATAGGTACCTGGGTGTTAGTCGACTGGTGTGGGTTGCATCCTAGGACAAAGACCTAGTATGCCCGAAATGTTCTGCATAACAAGTGGCTTTCTACATAGTAGTATGTCATTGATGTCAGCTATGGTCTGTATACCTTGTACATGTACTTGTAGAAATATTATATTATATTATATGTAGTAGTAGTTTGAGGTGATCAATCCCTCAGTCTTGACGAATAAGATTCATCAAAACTGATGAAGTGAGCACCTCCCTTCATGGCTGAGGGAATGATCACCTCAGAGTACTAGCACCTCCCTTCATGGCTGAGGGAATGATCACCTCAGAGTACTAGCACCTCCCTTCATGGCTGAGGGAATGATCACCTCAGAGTACTACTTCATGTCTTTCAATGTCCCCGTCTCTGTATTTAATTGATAAAGCCACTGGTTGACGAAACATCTACAAAATAGATACACAAATGTTGCATGTGTCTTATTCATCAATAGATAGGTAAGTACACGAAACTCTACCCTTCCCGTCCGGGAAGATAATGGCTGTGTGGGAAAGAAGGCGGGGCCCAAGAGCTGAGATTCGACCCTCGGTATCGAGCTTAGTTCCTCATCCCCCATAGCTGTTAGAAAGAGGTGGGTAGATAAAGAACAAAAAGGCACAATACAGTTACTGGAACAATACACAAATAACCCGCACATAGGAGATAGGAGCTTACGACGACGTTTCGGTCGTCTTGGACCATTTACAAAGTCTCACTAACGTCATCGTAAGCTTCTCTCTTGTATGTGCGGGTTATTTGTGTATTGTTCCAGTCACGGTATTGTGCCTTTTTATGTAAGAGGTGGGTAGCTGTGTGGTGGTGGTGGAGGTTAGTTGTGCGGGGAGAGGAGGGTAGATGTGATAGGATAGAGGGCGGTGGTACAGCTCCTTCCGGTGGGCGGGTTAGCCACTTGATAATAGTAATAAGTTTTAACGTTGACCCATCCCCATGTCATGTACATAAGTGCATTAGTACTCGCACACAGATCATATACGTATACATACAGACTTGCATAATATTAATACTAGGAGCCACGATGTACTGGGCTACATCACGCATTATTTACTGTGATCCTCGTCAATAATGGGATAAAACACTTAGCATCAGTTACTGGGACACACGTCAATGCTAGAATACACACTCAACACGACAGTTGTTTAAAATCACAGTTACTGGGACACAGGTCAATGCTAGGATACAACGCTCAACACGACAGTTGTTTAACATCACAGTTACTGGGAAATGCTGAACTACAGTACTCAGCATTACAGCTACTGGGACCCACGTCAACATCGGGATACAACACTCAGCATTACAGCTACTGGGACCCACGTCAACATCGGGATACAACACTCAACATTACAGTTACTGGGACCCATGTCAATATCGGGATACAACACTCAACATTAGTTACTGGGACCCACGTCAACATCGGGATACAACACTCAACATTACAGTTACTGGGACCCACGTCAACATCGGGATACAACATTCAACATTACAGTTACTGGGACCCACGTCAACATCGGGATACAACACTCAACATACAGTTACTGGGACCCACGTCAACATCGGGATACAACACTCAACATACAGTTACTGGGACCCACGTCAACATCGGGATACAACACTCAACATACAGTTACTGGGACCCACGTCAACATTCGGGATACAAACACTCAACTTACAGTTACTGGGACCCACGTCAAACATCGGGATACAACACTCAACATTACAGTTACTGGGACCCACGTCAACATCGAATACAAACACTCAACATTACAGTTACTGGGACCCACGTCAACATCGGGATACAACACTCAACATTACAGTTACTGGGACCCACGTCAACATCGGGATACAACACTCAACATTACAGTTACTGGGACCCACGTCAACATCGGAATACAACACTCAACATTACAGTTACTGGGACCCACGTCAACATCGGAATACAACATCTACATTACAGTTACTGGGACCCACGTCAATATCGGGATACAACACTCAACATTACAGTTACTGGGACCCACGTCAACATCGGGATACAACACTCAACATTACAGTTACTGGGACCCACGTCAATATCGGGATACAACACTCAACATTACAGTTACTGGGACCCACGTCAACATCGGGATACAACACTCAACATTACAGTTACTGGGACCCACGTCAATATCGGGATACAACACTCAACATTACAGTTACTGGGACCCACGTCAATATCGAGATACAACACTCAACATTACAGTTACTGGGACCCACGTCAATATCGAGATACAACACTCAACATTACAGTTACTGGGACCCACGTCAACATCGGGATACAACACTCAACATTACAGTTACCACTGTCTTGCTACTAACAAAGAATAAAAAAAGACCTTGACGTAATAAGGTTAAAATCACAGCAGCAAGTGAGAACAGCTGTGAATACATCAGATCACTGAAGTCAAGGAATAACTGAACTTACCTTTAAATATAAAGTCAAGAAACTGTTATAAAACGTTAACAAAACCCTATTAAGGAAACGTTTCGCCAGCTAGGGGCTTAATATATCAAATGATTGCAAAGCACTGATGAGCGAAAATTTTCCAATGGATTCACGCAACTTGTAATCCCAAGCTTTGAGTGTGGCTTCCGCACAGGGAGATCACACCTGAACAAATACATGACATCACTGAAAAGGCTCCTCACAATTATTATAGTATAAATTATACATAATACCGACTAGCTGATGCATAAGACAGGTGTAACACCTTGGTATGTGAATCAATGCTTCAATATACCGACAAACGTGAATAAGACAAAATATAGCACATGGCATTTTATTAAGAAAACGCTTCGTCCAACATAGTAATTCTCAGGCACAAACTTTACATAATATTATATATTTTTATATATATATATATATATATAATATATTATATATATATATATATATATATATATATATTTATATATATATATATATATATCACCACTGGCCGATTCCCACCAGGGCAGGGTGGCCCGAAAAAGAAAAACTTTCACCATCATTCACTCCATCACTGTCTTGCCAGAAGGGTGCTTTACACTACAGTTTTTAAACTGCAACATTAACACCCCTCCTTCAGAGTGCAGGCACTGTACTTCCCATCTCCAGGTTGTCCTTGGAAGAATTGATCAAGTCCCCGGTGAAAGAAATGTTTTCTCAATAAAATGGTATGCATAACATTGTATCTTATCTAAACACCCAAGTATCCTTACCGAAGGAGACGTTTCACTAACCGGAGGCTTTTTCAACCCAATACCGAGAATAAATACTGGAGACGGTTAGAGGTAGAAAGGTTGAGGTGTTCAGTTCCCTCAACCTCTGGTAGGTGTTCAGTTCCCTCAGCCTCTGGTAGGTGTTCAGTTCCCTCAACCTCTGGTAGGTGTTCAGTTCCCTCAGCCTCTGGTAGGTGTTCAGTTCCCTCAACCTCTGGTAGGTGTTCAGTTCCCTCAACCTCTGGTAGGTGTTCAGTTCCCTCAGCCTCTGGTAAGTGTTCAGTTCCCTCAACCTCTGGTAGGTGTTCAATTCCCTCAACCTCTGGTAGGTATTCAATTCCCTCAACCTCTGGTAGGTGTTCAGTCCCTCAGCCTCTGGTAGGTGTTCAGTTCCCTCAGCCTCTGGTAGGTGTTCAGTCCCTCAGCCTTGATAAATTTGTTTACTTACATAAGGCTGGAGATATAATCGTGCCAGAGGAGAGGTGCAGCACTCGAAGATATCACCACCAGTAATGTAATGATGCTTGTCTAACACTAGGAATTAGAATTAGTCTGCCCGAATACCTAGGCATGCTAGTGGCTTTCTTTGTACTTAACATTTTGCAATATGTAAACCACATATTTTAAGCTTTGCAAAGAAATAAAAATTTTCATTTTTCATTTTCAACGTCATGGAATCTTGGTACAGAGGATATATTCAACTCCAACTTTAGGGCATGACCTACTTTTGCTACTGGGCCCTGCCCACCTATAATGATGTCTTCGATTACTGCTTCTCTTCTCTGACTCAAATATTTAATTTTCCGTTCTCAAGGAAGCTTCAGAGTCATCAAGAGGAGAAAAAAAACCCTTAGGGAAGGTTCCTTGAAGTTGGTGAGGGGCTTTTGATTTAGGGAATTGGATCTGTGCTCCAGTTCCCCGAATTAAGCCTGAATGCCTTCCACATCCCCCCCCAGGTGCTGTATAATCCTACGGGTTTAGCGCTTCCCCCTTGATTAATTTATTTTATTTATTTGTATAAAATACAAATGCAGTATAATGAGATCCTCTCTGTTGATAAAGAGCGCACTGTACTGAATTTGTATCTTTATCCAAGTCTAGAGGCACTGATAATCTCAAATTACCCCTCCACTTCTACCATCTCCAGTACATATTCTCTCAATTAGACTGAAAAAGCCTCTGGCTAGCAAAGTCTCCTTCAGTATAGATACCCAGGCGTTTTACGTGTGTTATCATTATCCCACAAAACAAGGAAAATAATTTTAGAAATCTGCTCTATAATCGATGGCTGACAAGAGCTGATCCAAGAACATTTAGGGTAACATCTAAGGGTAACAACTTCAAACTTACCAAATAACGGCACAGGACACAACAGAAGTACTTCAATATTCCTACTGGTCCATACTAGGCAAGTCTTATTTGCACTCATTCCCTCTCGTATCTATCCAACCCATCCTTGATTAAAGTTACACAAAATATTAGCTTCAATGACACTAGTTGGCAGTTTGTTGCACTCATGTGCAACTTGACTGCCAAACCATTGCTCCTCTTATTCATTTTCAATCAGAATTTACCCATCTTGAATCCACTGCCTTAAACGTTTCTGGACGTAACCAGGAAACGTCTAAATTTGCAGAAACGTCACTCATAGTTTGGGGAAGACATGATGTTGTTGATAATTATAAATAAAGTAGTACTCACCTGGCCCAGATCAATAGTAAGATTGACTTCATTGTACTTCATGCCCCGGGAGAGTGGAGGGGACTGCCACCAGCGCTCTGACCCATCGATGGCATACTGTGCAGGATGTGACTTCTCGGGTATGTTGGGGTCACACCGGTCACACCACTGAAACACAACTTAAATTACAATACTCGCAGAAATTAGGTCAATATGGAATATAACTACTTGGCTGAGTCTGGTCATTTATATTTTAATTTGTACAATATTTGGTGGGTTTTTTAGGATAGCCCAGATACAGAGATCATTTACGACCTGCATATAACTAATAAAGTACATACTAAGCCTGTTCTATGGCCCTTGTGGTTTAGCGCTTCTTTTTTTATTATAACATACTAGGCCCAAGACTTAGCCTTCTACCAGCAAATATTACTGGTACAATGGTATTAATCTTCTAGTCAAATAGACAAATTTCTGCAAAAAAAGTGCCGGATCAGCTAGGCTGTGATGGCTATTTAAAATTTAAATTTAAATACTGGTAATGTACCAAATTCCTAGATATAAGCTAGATTGGGGAATACATGGTAATATATACATGGAAGTACTTGAGGGCCTAGTGTCAATATATACATAGAAAGTGTCAAAGTCGAACACTATCATAACATACTGGAGAGAGAGATATGGAAGGATGGGTTATATAAAAAGCATGGACGCCGTGGGCACAATAAGAGAGCTTATCAGTGTCCGTGGTCCCAGACTATTAAACTTTTTAAAAGGTTTCATTAAACACTGCTGGACAAAAGGATAATCTTCAAGAGGAAATTGTACAAGCATCTCCACTAAGTGCCTGTTAACCAGGCTGTAATGCATATATGAGCCGGCGGGCCCGCCAGCAGCAACGACCTTGACTCAAGAAATCGTAATGACACGATTGCAAATAAACCATACCCCCGGCCGGGATTGAACCCGCGGTCATAGAGTCTCAAAACTCCAGCCCGTCGCGTTAGCCACTAGACCAGCTGGTCTAGTGGCTAACGCGACGGGCTGGAGTTTTGAGACTCTATGACCGCGGGTTCAATCCCGGCCGGGGGTATGGTTTAGCAACGACCTTTTTTGACCACGCAAGCACCAGACAAGCCTGGCAAAGGGCCGGGCTCGGCGAGCAGAAAAACTCAAAATTCATCAAAGGTATAATATATCCTACCACTTTTAAAAATATTTAAGTTGTTCATATCTCCTAAAATAACAATTTGCCCACCTTTTTTGTAGACAATATCCAGAAAATAAAACTAACTTACAAAACCCACTTATTATCGAACATTTTAAACTAAATTATCGCTAAAGTGTCTAGCTTCTGTTCTCCATATTGACCAAATTAGCAGGCCGGTGCTCTCACCATTGACCCACGCAACCTTAACTGATAAATATTCAACAAACCAGTTATATTTCTATACGCTATAACCACATAACATTCATGAGGAAGCGCTAAATCCTAAGGGAGACACGAAACATTTGTATAACGCTGAATACCGTGTTGCACTTAGGAATCGGTCAACATAAATATTATTCTATATTAATCACAACAGCACAGTGGTAACATGATCGGCTCACAATCGAAAAGTACCCGGGTCAAACTAAGTGAGGCGAGAGTATGGGGCTAGTTTAAAAGCATTTGTTGTCATCTAGCAATAGACTGATACCGTGGAGTTAGTTGATGTGTGTCGCACCCTGGGCGGCCCTGATCCATGAGGCCTGTTCACAGACCAGGCCGCGGGGGCGTTGACCCCCGAAGCCCTCTCCAGGTATGGAGCAGAATTCTTCTCCAGGCTGAGGGACCGACACCCTCAAAGCTAAGTCTTCAAGGGTGATGGAGTGATTACATAGTCTTAACATTGCACTGCCTTTGCTGCCCCGCCTGTATTCGACTGAAGAAGCCTACTGTGTAGGCTATAAGTTTCGGAATAAAGATGCCTAGCTGTTGCACATGTGTCTCAATTATCAACTTGTCGGTATTGTATACCGTTATCATAATTACACCGTTATGTTCAAGACATCACAGGCGATTAACCAAAAAAGTCATTGAGCCAGGATAAGATAAGATAAGATTTCGTTCGGATTTTTAACCCCGGAGGGTTAGCCACCCAGGATAACCCAAGAAAGTCAGTGCGTCATCGAGGACTGTCTAACTTATTTCCATTGTGGTCCTTAATCTTGTCCCCCAGGATGCGACCCACACCAGTCGACTAACACCCAGGTACCTATTTGCTGCTAGGTGAACAGGACAACAGGTGTAAGGAAACGTGTCGAAATGTTTCCACCCGCCGGGAATCGAACCTGGGCCCTCCGTGTGTGAAGCGGGAGCTTTAGCCACCAGGCCACCGGATAACACAATAAAGTCATGCAATCACACTGGCTTATTTCTATTGGGTTCCTTTATCAGAGGAAGGGAAGAGAGGTTCTAATTCCCTTAATCAAGAACTCTTCGCCTGGATGAAGGCATCGCCTTGAAGAGCTTTGAGGTAATAATGTATAAAGCTTTACATAGCGATATAGCTTTATACAGAGCGAAAGGATAGATAAAGCTTTACACACGACGAAACGTGACTCGATAAAACTCTGCACAGCGAAACATGACTTAATACTGCTTTATATAGGGCAAAACATTACTCGAAAAGCTCTAGACAAGGCGAAACATTTCACAAAATTCTACGCAGGGCGAAACATGACTTGGCATAGCTTTACAGGGTGAAACACGATAAAAACTGTACACAGCTAAATATTTGCTAAAGCTTACATTGGGCAAAGCATGCTAAAGCTTTACACAAAGAAACGTGACCTAATACAGCTTTAGAGCGAAAAATTTTATGACAATAAACAGAGCGAAACGTTGTCCCACATAACATTTTACACTCCATTTTACACTGCAATGACTTTGCTTATCATGGAGAGACTGCCAAGTGGAAATAGTTCCGAATTACTGACTGCAGCAGCACTATATAGCTGAGCTGCTGAAAAAAAAGGTGTTGGGGCAACGTTTCACTCTGTTAAGAGCTTCATTATTCCTTGATAAAGCTTTACAAAGAGCGAAACGTTGGCCTAGTGAAACATGACTTGTCTGCTGACCTGTCCTCCTTGGATGAAGTCTGTGGAAGCATCTCTGTCAGCGTTGGCACCCACCAGTTTGCAGTAGAGCTCTGGCTCTGGGACCCCCTCACCACAGGTGGCAGAAGCTGTTATACGTCGGTTCTCGGCTAAATTGAAGTATGGCGGAGTTAAGACTTGCGCTTGAGACGGGAAGATGAAGGCTGCTACCAGCCATAATGTTAACACCAGCAGCAGCGTACCACCACCGCACTCCGCCATGGTTACTGCTTTAATGTGTTGACCCACGCGCGGTGGTTGGCTGGCCCTGCCACCACTACCCTGGCTGGCCCTGCCACCACTACCATGGCTGGCCTAGCCACCACTACCCTGGCTGGCCTAGCCACCACTACCCTGGCTGGCCCTGCCACCACTACCTTGGCTGGCCCTGCCACCACTACCCTGGCTGGCCCTGCCACCACTACCCTGGCTGGCCCTGGCACCACTACCCTGGCTGGCCCTGCCACCACTACCCTGGCTGGCCCTGCCACCACTACCCTGGCTGGCCCTGCCACCACTACCCTGGCTGGCCCTGCCACCACTACCCTGGCTGGCCCTGCCACCACTACCCTGGCTGGCCCTGCCACCACTACCCTGGCTGGCCCTGCCACCACTACCCTGGCTGGCCTTGCCACCACTACCCTGGCTGGCCCTGCCACCACTACCCTGGCTGGCCCTGCCACCACTACCCTGGCTGGCCCTGCCACCACTACCCTGGCTGGCCCTGCCACCACTACCCTGGCTGGCCCTGCCACCACTACCCTGGCTGGCCCTGCCACCGCTACCATGGCTGGCCCTGCCACCACTACCCTGGCTGGCCCTGCCACCACTACCATGGCTGGCCCTGCCACCGTTACCCTGGTTGGTCCTGCCACCACTACTCTGGCTGGCCCTGCCACCACTACCCTGGTTGGTCCTGCCACCACTACCCTGGCTGGCCCTGCCACCACTACCCTGGCTGGCCCTGCCACCACTACCCTGGCTGGCCCTGCCACCACTACCCTGGCTGGCCCTGCCACCACTACCCTGGCTGGCCCTGCCACCACTACCCTGGCTGGCCCTGCCACCACTACCCTGGCTGGCCCTGCCACCACTACCCTGGCTGGCCCTGCCACCACTACCCTGACTGGCCCTGCCACCACTACCCTGGCTGGCCCTGCCACCACTACCCTGGCTGGCCCTGCCACCACTACCCTGGCTGGCCCTGCCACCACTACCATGGCTGGCCCTGCCACCACTACCCTGGCTGGCCCTGCCACCACTACCCTGGCTTGCCCTGCCACCACTACCCTGGCTTGCCCTGCCACCACTACCCTGGCTGGCCCTGCCACCACTACCCTGGCTGGCCCTGCCACCACTACCCTGACTGGCCCTGCCACCACTACCCTGGCTGGCCCTGCCACCACTACCCTGGCTGGCCCTGCCACCACTACCCTGGCTGGCCCTGCCACCACTACCATGGCTGGCCCTGCCACCACTACCCTGGCTGGCCCTGCCACCACTACCCTGGCTTGCCCTGCCACCACTACCCTGGCTTGCCCTGCCACCACTACCCTGGCTGGCCCTGCCACCACTACCCTGGCTGGCCCTGCCACCACTACCCTGGCTGGCCCTGCCACCACTACCATGGCTGGCCCTGCCACCACTACCATGGCTGGCCCTGCCACCACTACCCTGGCTGGCCCTGCCACCACTACCCTGGCTGGCCCTGCCACCACTACCCTGGCTTGCCCTGCCACCACTACCCTGGCTTGCCCTGCCACCACTACCCTGGCTGGCCCTGCCACCACTACCCTGGCTGGCCCTGCCACCACTACCCTGACTGGCCCTGCCACCACTACCCTGGCTGGCCCTGCCACCACTACCCTGGCTGGCCCTGCCACCACTACCCTGGCTGGCCCTGCCACCACTACCATGGCTGGCCCTGCCACCACTACCCTGGCTGGCCCTGCCACCACTACCCTGGCTTGCCCTGCCACCACTACCCTGGCTTGCCCTGCCACCACTACCCTGGCTGGCCCTGCCACCACTACCCTGGCTGGCCCTGCCACCACTACCATGGCTGGCCCTGCCACCACTACCCTGGCTGGCCCTGCCACCACTACCCTGGCTGGCCCTGCCACCACTACCCTGGCTGGCCCTGTCACCACTACCCTGGCTGGCCCTACCACCACTACCCTGGCTGGCCCTGCCACCACTACCCTGGCTGGCCCTGCCACCGCTACCCTGGTTGGTCCTGCCACCACTACCCTGGTTGGCCCTGCCACCACTACCCTGGCTGGCCCTACCACCACTACCCTGGCTGGCCCTGCCACCACTACCCTGGCTGGCCCTGTCACCACTACCCTGGTTGGCCCTGCCACCACTACCCTGGCTGGCCCTGCCACCACTACCCTGGCTGGCCCTGCCACCGCTACCCTGGTTGGTCCTGCCACCACTACTCTGGCTGGCCCATAACACCACTACCCTGGCTGACTGTGCCACCACTAACTACCCTGGCTGGCTCTGCCACCACTACCACTTGCTGCTGCCACTAAACAAGTGGCACTCACTGAAGAGTGAGTGCCACCTGTTTAATGAAGAATGGGACTTGAAGTACTTTGTACCAGCAGGTACATGTCGTATGTTATGTCATATGTCGTACGTCACAACACTGTTGCAGTTTTGAAGGAGTACAATGTACGTCGTTACTGAGACCAACAACAAGTTATTCGCAATTCACTGCAACGCAGGTTGCTGTTCCAACAAGATTTTTTAGTCAGATTTGAAAATGAAGCTTTAATCAGGACCAGTTACAAAGTATCTTATGCATTAGCTAAAAGAGGAAAGCCATTCACCGATGGATATCTGATGCAAGAGTGTATAAATAATAATAATATCTTTATTTACTACAAGTACATGTACAAGGTATACAGTCCTAGCTGATACCAATGACATACTATATAGAAAGCCTCTTGTTATGCTCAGCATTTCGGGCAGATTAGGTCAGTTTTGTCCCAGGATGCGACCCACACCAGTCCACTAACACCCAGGATGCGACCCACACCAGTCCACTAACACCCAGGTACCCATTTTACTGATGGGGAACATACAACAGGTGCTAAGGAACACGCCCAATGTTTCTACCCTGGCTGGGAATCGAACCTAGGCCCTTGCCGTGTGAAGCAAGAGCGTTAGCCACCAGAAAAAGCAAATCTGTTCAGAATCCTTAGTCTTTTGAACCAAATACTGTTGCTCGTAGAACTGAGGATGTAAGAAGCAACATGTTTCATCAAATTGCAGACAAAACACAAAATTTTCATTTTTTTTTTCTCTGGCACTTAATGACTGGAATGATGTGACACATTACAACTCCTGGTATTGATCCCTGGTGTCAGAGACCCAGGATAACCCAGTAAAATAAATAAGACATTTGACACAGTTAGGCATCTCGATTCCGAAACGTTTCGCTAACACAGTAGGCTTCTTCAGTCGAGTACAGATTTTTTATTATTTTATTTAGAAGGACAGTACATATACAGAGTACATACAATTATTAACATCGTACATCAATACTGGACAAGCACCTAAAGTCGGTTCCTGACCAGCCGGGCTGTGGCTCGTACGTTGGTTTGCGTGCAGCCAGCAGTAACAGCCTGGTTGATCAGGCTCTGATCCACCAGGAGGCCTGGTCGCAGACCGGGCCGCGGGGGCGTTGACCCCCGGAACTCTCTCCAGGTAAACTCCAGGTACAAAGATAAACAGTAATTTACTTAAGAAGAGTACCGTACTCAAACACCTTCAAAATTTTTACCAAAAGGTATCTCCTGTTCCCAATGACTCTTACAGGAACCAGGAGAGGCAGGAGGAGCTTAAAGCTATTAGTGAAATTGAAAGAAATTCCAAATATTTCTTTTCATATGCCAAAAACAAGGCAAATACCACATCTAGTATCGGGCCCTTACTCAGACAGGATGGGACTTACACAGATGACAACAAGGAAATGAGTGAAATATTGAAATCCCAGTACGACTCTGTGTTTAGTGAACCACTAATCGGTCTGAGGATCGACGACCCAAATGATTTCTTCATGAATGAGCCTCAAAACTCCATAAATGTATGCCAGATTTCCGACATTACCCTAACTCCGATAGATTTCGAAAAAGCCATTGACAACATGCCTATGCACTCAGCCCCGGGCCCAGACTCGTGGAACTCTGTTTTCATTAAGAACTGCAAGAAACCCCTCTCGCGTGCCCTAAGTACACTATGGAGGAGGAGCTTGGACATGGGTGAGATTCCACAGTCACTTAAAACAACGGATATAGCCCCGCTCCATAAGGTGGCAGCAAAGCATTAGCTAAGAACTATAGACCAATAGCTCTGACGTCCCACATCATAAAAATCTTTGAAAGAGTGCTAAGAAGCAGGATTGCAAATCACCTGGATTCCCAAAATCTGCACAATCCAGGGCAACATGGGTTCAGGGCAGGTCGCTCCTGCCTCTCACAACTACTGGATCACTATGACATGGCCTTGGATGCACTGGAAGAAAATCAGAATGCAGATGTAATATACACAGACTTTGCAAAGCATTTGACAAATGCGATCATGGCGTAATAGCCCATAAAATACGTGCTAAAGGAATAACTGGGAAAGTGGGGGATGGATCTTCAACTTCCTAACAAATCGAACACAAAGAGTAGTGGTCAACAGAGTTAAATCGGAGGCTGCCCTAGTGAAGAGCTCTGTTCCACAAGGCACAGTACTCGCCCCCATCTTATTCCTTATCCTCAATCAGACATAAACAGAGATTTTACCCCACAGCACCGTATCATCCTTTGCGGATGATACTAGGATCTGCATGAGGCTGTCATCTGCTGAGGACGCGGTTAACCTCCAAGAAGATTTAAACAAAGTTTTCCAGTGGGCAACGGTAAACAATATGATGTTCAATGAGGACAAATTCCAACTACTCCGTTATGGAAAACTGGAGGAGATAATAACTAGAACAGAGTATACTACTGACTCCGGCCATACAATAGAGCGGAAAATAATGTAAGGGACCTGGGAGTAGTAATGTCTGAGGATCTCACTTTCAAGGATCACAACAGTGCCACGATCGCACGTGCAAAGAAAATGATAGGATGGATAATGAGAACTTTCAAAACGAGAGATGCCAAGCCCATGATGATCCTTTTCAAATCACTTGTTCTCTCTAGGCTGGAATACTGCTGTACATTAACATCTCCATACAAAGCAGGT